ACACTCCACTCACCTGCTGGCGCCTGGGAAACACTCCACTCACCTGCTGGCGCCTGGGAAACACTCCACCCACCTGCTGGCGCCTGGGAAACACTCCACCCACCTGCTGGTGCCTGGGAAACACTCCACCCACCTGCTGGCGCCTGGGAAACACTCCACTCACCTGCTGGCGCCTGGGAAACACTCCACTCACCTGCTGGCACCTGGGAAACACTCCACCCACCTGCTGGCGCCTGGGAAACACTCCACTCACCTGCTGGCACCTGGGAAACACTCCACCCACCTGCTGGTGCCTGGGAAACACTCCACCCACCTGCTGGTGCCTGGGAAACACTCCACTCACCTGCTGGCACCTGGGAAACACTCCACCCACCTGCTGGTGCCTGGGAAACACTCCACTCACCTGCTGGTGCCTGGGAAACACTCCACCCACCTGCTGGCACCTGGGAAACACTCCACCCACCTGCTGGTGCCTGGGAAACACTCCACTCACCTGCTGGCGCCTGGGAAACACTCCACCCACCTGCTGGTGCCTGGGAAACACTCCACCCACCTGCTGGTGCCTGGGAAACACTCCACTCACCTGCTGGCACCTGGGAAACACTCCACCCACCTGCTGGTGCCTGGGAAACACTCCACCCACCTGCTGGTGCCTGGGAAACACTCCACCCACCTGCTGGCACCTGGGAAACACTCCACCCACCTGCTGGCGCCTGGGAAACACTCCACTCACCTGCTGGCACCTGGGAAACACTCCACCCACCTGCTGGCGCCTGGGAAACACTCCACCCACCTGCTGGCGCCTGGGAAACACTCCACCCACCTGCTGGCGCCTGGGAAACACTCCACTCACCTGCTGGCGCCTGGGAAACACTCCACTCACCTGCTGGCGCCTGGGAAACACTCCACCCACCTGCTGGTGCCTGGGAAACACTCCACCCACCTGCTGGCGCCTGGGAAACACTCCACTCACCTGCTGGCGCCTGGGAAACACTCCACTCACCTGCTGGCGCCTGGGAAACACTCCACCCACCTGCTGGCGCCTGGGAAACACTCCACTCACCTGTCAAGGAGAACAAGCATGTACAAACCGGTTGCTGGTCCAGGATGTCATTATATATATAATGTTCACTTTTAATATCTGTACAATAATGAAATACATTTATTGCGTTTCTAATATTATTATTTTATTTTCATTATAATTTATCACATATTTGATGTATTTTTTTTAATTGAGGAGCGAGAAACAGGAGAATAAGTGGTGCTGGCAGAATGAAGAGGACGAATGTAGGAAAATAATAAAGGGTTATAATAAAGTGGGAATAGTTAAGGGAAAGAAAAGAGAAGGAAGAAGGCAAGGGAAGAACAAAGAAGCTTAAGAGAGAGAGAGAGAGAGAGAGAGAGAGAGAGAGAGAGAGAGAGAGAGAGAGAGAGAGAGAGAGAGAGAGAGAGAGAGAGAGAGAGAGAGAGAGAGAGAGAGAGAGAGAGAGAGAGAGAGAGAGAGAGTTTCTAAGTCACAATTGAGCCAATAATTCCCCCACTCCGTCAATATTTCCACTATATTCTCACTTTATAATCCTCCTCCAGCATGTTCCATTTACCTGTTTGTGGCTGCAGGATCGAGCTGTTAGCTCTTGGGCCCCGCCTTTCTAACCGTGGGTTGTCTAATTCCATAGTTCCTGATCTATTTTTCTTCACATTTCTTACATCCAGAGGAAGCAGCCCGTAGCAGTTATCTAACTCCCAGGTGCCTATTTACTGCTAGGTGAACTGAGACATCAGGTGGAAGAAACTTTGCCCATTTGTTTCTGCCTCGACCGGGAATCGAATCCGGGCCATTCGGACTTCGACCCCCCCCCCGAGCACGGGGGGGGGGTCGCAGTGTGTACTCACCTAGTTGTGCTTGCGGGGGTTGAGCTCTGGCTCTTTGGTCCCGCCTCTCAACTGTCAATCAACTGGTGTACAGATTCTTGAGCCTACTGGGCTCTATCTCTGCTCTGTGTGTGTGTGTGTGTGTGTGTGTGTGTGTGTGTGTGTGTGTGTGTGTGTGTGTGTGTGTGTGTGTGTGTGTGTGTGTGTGTGTGTGTGTGCGTGCGTGCGTGCGCGCGCATTGGGACGGGGTCAGGATAAGGATTTAGGATGGGACAGGGGGCGGAAAGGAATGGTGCCCAACCATTTGTGGACGGTCAGGGGATTGAACGCCGACCTGCATGAAGCGAGACCGTCACTCTACCGTCCACCCCAAGTGGTTGGATGTGACAGGTGAGACAGCGGCCACCATATAGCGTCCATTAATGAACCATATACAACGTACCCATGAAGCGTACGTATGTACGTATTTAGCGTACATATGGCTCTAGGTACTATATGTACCAGATCTATCTATAAATCCAACGGTATGTTTCTAACTCTGCAGCTATGTATATACTTTTCCTAAATACAATGTTATTTGTTATTATTTGTCATTTACGTTAAAAATGTCTAATATTAAAGTATCCCATTAAGGCAAAAAAAATTAGAAAATACGTTTTCTTTGGACGTGTGTTGCTATGACTACCTTTGCTCTTCGTTTTCTTTGACTTTTTTGGGCGTAACTATACCTTTTTGGAGAAACTCTTGCAACTACTGTAATAATAATAGTTCCTTGTGCCAGGGGGGACAGGCAGCCAGCAGTTGACTGTTAACTGTTAGCAACAGTTTACGCACAACTGTGTCAACTGTTAACTGTGTCAACTGTTGACTGTGTCAACTGTTGACTGTTAGTCAACAGTCGACTAACTCCCGGGTACCTATTTACTGCTAGGGAGAACAGAAGCATTATGTGACAGGAAGCATGGCCATCCATTTCAAGAATTCCCGTTCGGGATTCGAACCCTGGATTCCCGATTGTGAGTCGACAACGAATCCCACTGTACTACCGGTTACGTACATGAATCTTAGCGTTTGTGTAACGACTACAGCAAAACCTCTCGATTCCGGCCATTGTAGAGAGAAAATTATTAAGAATAATAATAATAAAATAATGATTAACGCCTAGTCAATCCTCCCCGGCCAGGATACGAACCCAGATCATATCGCCCGCGAATATCTTACCACTACGCCACTCGTCCTGTCCCTGTGGATGCCCTGTCGTCCTGTCCCTGTGGATGCCCTCTCGTTCTGTCCCTGTGGATGCCCTCTCGTTCTCTGTGGATGCCCTCTCGTCCTGTCCCTGTGGATGCCCTCTCGTTCTGTCTCTGTGGATGCCCTCTCGTCCTGTCCCTGTGGATGCCCTCTCATTCTGTCCCTGTGGATGCCCTCTCGTTCTGTCCCTGTGGACGCCCTCTCGTTCTGTCCCTGTGGACGCCCTCTCGTTCTGTCTCTGTGGATGCCCTCTCGTCCTGTCCCTGTGGATGCCCTCTCATTCTGTCCCTGTGGATGCCCTCTCATTCTGTCCCTGTGGATGCCCTCTCGTTCTGTCCCTGTGGACGCCCTCTCGTTCTGTCTCTGTGGATGCCCTCTCGTCCTGTCCCTGTGGATGCCCTCTCATTCTGTCCCTGTGGATGCCCTCTCATTCTGTCCCTGTGGATGCCCTCTCATTCTGTCCCTGTGGATGCCCTCTCGTCCTGTCCCTGTGGATGCCCTCTCATTCTGTCCCTGTGGATGCCCTCTCATTCTGTCCCTGTGGATGCCCTCTCGTTCTGTCCCTGTGGACGCCCTCTCGTTCTGTCTCTGTGGATGCCCTCTCGTCCTGTCCCTGTGGATGCCCTCTCATTCTGTCCCTGTGGATGCCCTCTCGTTCTGTCCCTGTGGACGCCCTCTCGTTCTGTCTCTGTGGATGCCCTCTCGTCCTGTCCCTGTGGATGCCCTCTCATTCTGTCCCTGTGGATGCCCTCTCATTCTGTCCCTGTGGATGCCCTCTCGTTCTGTCCCTGTGGACGCCCTCTCGTTCTGTCTCTGTGGATGCCCTCTCGTCCTGTCCCTGTGGATGCCCTCTCGTTCTGTCCCTGTGGATGCCCTCTCGTCCTGTCCCTGTGGATGCCCTCTCGTTCTGTCCCTGTGGATGCCCTCTCGTTCTGTCTCTGTGGATGCCCTCTCGTCCTGTCCCTGTGGACGCCCTCTCGTTCTGTCTCTGTGGATGCCCTCTCGTCCTGTCCCTGTGGATGCCCTCTCATTCTGTCCCTGTGGATGCCCTCTCGTCCTGTCCCTGTGGATGCCCTCTCATTCTGTCCCTGTGGATGCCCTCTCATTCTGTCCCTGTGGATGCCCTCTCATTCTGTCCCTGTGGATGCCCTCTCATTCTGTCCCTGTGGATGCCCTCTCATTCTGTCCCTGTGGATGCCCTCTCGTCCTGTCCCTGTGGATGCCCTCTCATTCTGTCCCTGTGGATGCCCTCTCATTCTGTCCCTGTGGATGCCCTCTCGTTCTGTCCCTGTGGACGCCCTCTCGTTCTGTCTCTGTGGATGCCCTCTCGTCCTGTCCCTGTGGATGCCCTCTCATTCTGTCCCTGTGGATGCCCTCTCGTTCTGTCCCTGTGGACGCCCTCTCGTTCTGTCTCTGTGGATGCCCTCTCGTCCTGTCCCTGTGGATGCCCTCTCATTCTGTCCCTGTGGATGCCCTCTCATTCTGTCCCTGTGGATGCCCTCTCGTTCTGTCCCTGTGGACGCCCTCTCGTTCTGTCTCTGTGGATGCCCTCTCGTCCTGTCCCTGTGGATGCCCTCTCATTCTGTCCCTGTGGATGCCCTCTCGTCCTGTCCCTATGGATGCCCTCTCGTCCTGTCCCTGTGGATGCCCTCTCATTCTGTCCCTGTGGATGCCCTCTCGTTCTGTCCCTGTGGACGCCCTCTCGTTCTATCTCTGTGGATGCCCTCTCGTCCTGTCCCTGTGGATGCCCTCTCATTCTGTCCCTGTGGATGCCCTCTCGTCCTGTCCCTGTGGATGCCCTCTCATTCTGTCCCTGTGGATGCCCTCTCATTCTGTCCCTGTGGATGCCCTCTCATTCTGTCCCTGTGGATGCCCTCTCATTCTGTCCCTGTGGATGCCCTCTCGTCCTGTCCCTGTGGATGCCCTCTCATTCTGTCCCTGTGGATGCCCTCTCGTTCTGTCCCTATGGATGCCCTCTCGTCCTGTCCCTGTGGATGCCCTCTCATTCTGTCCCTGTGGATGCCCTCTCGTCCTGTCCATGTGGATGCCCTCTCGTCCTGTCCCTGTGGATGCCCTCTCATTCTGTCCCTGTGGATGCCCTCTCGTCCTGTCCCTGTGGATGCCCTCTCGTCCTGTCCCTGTGGATGCCCTCTCGTCCTGTCCCTGTGGATGCCCTCTCGTCCTGTTCCTATGGATGCCTTCTCGTCCTGTCCCTGTGGATGCCCTCTCGTTCTGTCCCTGTGGATGCCCTCTCGTCCTGTCCCTGTGGATGCCCTCTCATTCTGTCCCTGTGGATGCCCTCTCATTCTGTCCCTGTGGATGCCCTCTCGTCCTGTCCCTGTGGATGCCTTCTCGTCCTGTCCAAATGGATCGAGATCCATTTCTACAAGCAACAGAAGTAAAAAAAATGTATATTATAATAATAGCTGGCGTGTTGTTTCTGTCGTAGCTGCTGCCATCTATCCGCAACTTCATCTGCTTTACCTGTAATGCCATCAGCATTTGTTCCCTTTACTTTAAAGCCCAATTTCGTTCGTGCATTCTCATGCTTCCACCTGACCTCTTGTCCACTAGTGTGGGGAGCTGCTTTGTGTAGGGGTTATCAGGATGGGGCATAGTGAGGTGATTGATGGGGGTTTGAGGGGAGATAATTAAGGAACTGTTAGGTACTGGGTTGAGAGTTGTATTAGCAACTTTGTGTCTGGAGGGAAGGAATATGAGAGGGGTGAGAAGTGGAGGGAGAGGGGGGGGGGGTGTAATTGTTGTTTAAACTTTCTCTGAGATTTAGGGAGTTAGATTAGGTTAGGTTAGGTTAGGTTAGGTTAGGTTAGGTTAGGTTAGCTTGCATGAGGAGGGAGTGAAGGGTGGAAATGGGAACAGGAATGGGAGGTGTATGTGTGTGTACTTACCTAGTTGTGCTTGCGGGGGTTGAGCTCAGGCTCTTTGGTCCCGCCTCTCAACCGTCAATCAACAGGTGTACAGGTTCCTGAGCCTACTGGGCTCTATCATATCTACACTTGAAACTGTGTATGGAGTCAGCCTCCACCACATCACTTCCTAATGCATTCCATTTGTCTACTACTCTGACACTGAAAAAATTCTTTCTAACGTCTCTATAGCTCATTTGGGCACTCAATTTCTACCTGTGTCCCCTTGTGCGTGTTCCCCTTGTGGTAAATAGCCTGTCTTTATCTACCCTATCAATTCCCTTGAGAATCTTGAATGTGGAGATCATGAATGTGTGTGTGTGTGTGTGTGTGTGTGTGTGTGTGTGTGTGTGTGTGTGTGTGTACACCCTAGTGAGAGCTCGCACACACACACACACACACACACACCACCCCCTGGCCCTACACTTCCTGCCCTAAGTAGCATCGTTCACCCATCCCAGATCACCCCACCACATACCTAACGACCCAATCACCTCATCCTCCGATCCCCAAACCCTATAAATACCCCCCCCCCCGTGCAACCACCACCACCACCACACACTACCACAAACACCACCACCACACCACACATCCTAACTGCTCCCATACGCCTCTCAACTGAGCGAAAATCTACGATATATACCAGGATTTCACTGCGGTTTTGGCTTTGACTGATTGACGGTTGCCGACAGCGGCGGCCAATCCACTGGACCCGCCAAGCTCATCCTGTCACCAGCGGCAGCTCTACGGGATTACATAGGATCATGTAACCTCTTCATCACACTCCAGTGGTGATTACAGCACCACTGTGTTGTTGGATTACTTGATTTTTATATATATATATATATATAAAATCCGACTGATAATGATGTGTTAATTAGTCTGGTACTGATGTATTAATTAATACTTACAGCATCCTAAAGGGGTGATTTATTTTCCCCCTCCAGAGGTGATTTATTGCACTCAAGGGTGATTTATTGCACTCAAGGGTGATTTATTGCACTCAAGGGTGATTTATTGCACTCAAGGGTGATTTATTGCACTCAAGGGTGATTTATTGCACTCAAGGGTGATTTATTGCACTCAGGGGTGATTTATTGCACTCAAGGGTGATTTATTGCACTCAGGGGTGATTTATTGCACTCAAGGGTGATTTATTGCCCCCTCCAAGGGTGATTTATTGCACTCCAAGGGTGATTTATTGCCCCCTCCAAGGGTGATTTATTGCACTCAGGGGTGATTTATTGCACTCAATGGTGATTTATTGCACTCAATGGTGATTTATTGTCCAGGGGTGATTTATTGTCCAGGGGTGATTTATTGTCCAGGGGTGATTTATTGTCCAGGGGTGATTTATTGTCCAGGGGTGATTTATTGTCCAGGGGTGATTTATTGTCCAGGGGTGATTTATTGTCCAGGGGTGATTTATTGTCCAGGGGTGATTTATTGTCCAGGGGTGATTTATTGTCCAGGGGTGATTTAAAGCATAGCAGGGGTGATATTGTAGGTGAAAGGGGAAGGGGAAATCTATTATGAGGTGAAGGTGTTGTAGGTGTGGGTTGACGGGGGATTGACTGGGGGTTGACGGGGGACTGACTGGGGTTGACGGGGGACTGACTGTGGGTTGACAGGGGTTGACGGGGGACTGACTGGGGGTTGACGGGGGACTGACTGGGGGTTGACGGGGGGTTGACGGGGGACTGACTGGGGGTTGACGGGGGGTTGACGGGGGGGTTGACAGGGGTTGACTGCTTACCTGATATGCGCTGAACGTGGCCGTCCTCGGTGGTGAAGTTGACAGTGGTGCCAGGATTGATGTGGAGGTGGACCACGTGCTGCCCTTCCTCCCCCCCTCCCACCCCCATCAACAGCCCCCCCTCCTCCACCACTCCGCCCACCAGACCCGCACTCCCGCCCACTTCCACCGTCACGGCGCCCACGCCCTCGTCCAGGGGCGTGGTGCTGCTGCCAGAGAAGCACTGAGAGGCGTTATGTGGGCGTGGGGAAGTGCCTCTCGATCTGGAGGGTATTGGAGATATTGTCTTGTAACGCCCATGATGCCCCCGCCCACGGCCTCCGCCCACAGTCAGCGCCCACGAGTCATCCCGCGAGGACTTGTAGCGCCCCCTACCACCGGAGTAGCCGCCGTGGTAGGCTTGGTAGGAGTCCTGGTAGCTGGATTTGTGGTAGTGGTGGCCGCCATCGCTGTGGTAGTGACTTCGGCTGTTGGTGTGGTGGTAGTGGTAGCCGTTGGTGTGGTGGTGGGCGTGGTGGGGCCCGCCGGAGCCATTCTGGTGGTGGGTGTAGAAACTGTGGGTGGAGCCAGAGCCATTCTGGTAGGCTGTGTGGTGGTGGTGGTGGTGGTGGTGGTGGGGGGAGTGGCGGCGCCCGTGGCTGCTGGTAGCCAGCCGGCCCCACGGGTGGTAATTGTGGGCGCCGTGGGCGCGGTAGTACGGCCGCAGGTCATCGTGGGCGTACGCCTCACCCGTCGAATTGACGGATGAAGCGGGTGAGACGGGTCCAGACGCGGAGAGAGAAGAGGCCGGAGACGGAGCAGCGCCCATGGGCGTGGTGGGCTGGTGGGTGGAGTGGTTGTGGGCGTCAGAGAGGGGCGTGGGGGTGAGGGTGACTGTGGGCGGGGGGGCAGGGGGGGCTTCCTCCCCCTCCCGCACCTTTACCATCACTCCACCCCCGGACCTGTAGGACAAGACACAAGTCATTAGTAAACAAATATTAGTGACAATCTCACACATTCTGACAACTCGGTCAGAATGTGTCAGAACACATTCATCAAAACACATTCTCCTGACATTCTCGGTCAATTGAGATCATTCCACACACTCCACAGCTCATCCATACACTCCTCAGCTCATCCACACACTCCTCAGCTCATCCACGCACTCCTCAGCTCATCCACGCACTCCTCAGCTCATCCACGCACTCCCCAGCTCATACACGCACTCCTCAGCTCATACACGCACTCCTCAGCTCATCCACGCACTCCTCAGCTCATACACGCACTCCTCAGCTCATACAATATACATAAATATATATACACTTAAAATATACGAGAGAAAATATATGATTACGTGATGCTATTGCTTCCCACCCTTCACGATGTGAGGAAGCGTCTGATCGCATCCACAACAGCTCCCTGACTCTCAACTGAGAGTGTACAGAGGCATCAGGTGCAAGGGAGCCTACCAAAACGGCTCGCCCTACCCTGGACTATCACTCGGGGCCATTCGAATACGAGAAGGCAGCCCTATACACGTTAGAACAAAGCACTAGAACATCTTTCATATATATCTGATCAATATCAGAAGCTATTTAAGGCAAATTGATGATAAAATCGAGTAATACACGCTGTATTAATTCAACAATACAGGAGGTATTGTCGAATTGTATTATACAATGGTGTGTCTAGTCGATTTGATATTCAGTAAAGATAAAAATATACTTTTAGACATACACAAAGTTAATGTCAAGTGTATTCTGAAGGAAAGGGGGGGGGGGGAGTGGGGAGTAAAGAGGAAGGAGAGGCATAGGTGAAGAGAAGTATAGAAGTGGGAAATACAGTGAGAGGTATGAAAGCAGGCGGGCTGTCCGCCTTGCTGACACCATGTGTGGGTGTTGGCAGCTAAGCTAAGCTGGCTCCCTCTTGTCAGGGAGCTGTGTGTGTGTGTGTGTGTGTGTGTGTGTGTGTGTGTGTGTGTGTGTGTGTGTGTGTGTGTGTGTGTGTGTGTGTGTGTGTGTGCGTGTGTGTGTGTGTAAGGTTTTTCACATGCATTTCACCATATATGGATGTCTATATGTGAATATTGTGTAGCATTCACATGTACACACACAGGTGTTTTCACACATGTCTGATGTTCTGTTTAAGGCTCTTTAATTATATATATATATATATATATATATATATATATATATATATATATATATATATATATATATATATATATATATATATATATACTTTTCTGCGAAGGTGGGAGGGATTTCTAATATGTATTTCATCTAGAAACTATGTACTGTGGGGGTGGGTTTTCACAGAGTAGATCGAGGCTCTTGGGCCCCCAACTATGACAGCAAAACATCTCATCTCGAAACTAATCTATCTAGCATTAATCCTTCCAACATCTCCATCATACTCCACACCCTGGTGGCTTGGTGCTATAGTGATGCTGTTTAGTGTGTGTGTTCCCCTTGACACTATACACTATACACACCATCCAAACCCCCCCTACTTGAACCTCCGACACCCCCCCTCACCCCCTCAATTCCACCACAATACCCCTCTCAACTGACCCTCCATATCCCCAATGGGGTGAGAATAGCTTGAGCTACCTCATCCCTTTGTGTGTATTTTACCTCAATAAACTTATTTCAATTTCAATTTCAATTTCCATATCCCCCCCCCCTATCGTTGCCGGGTAATCAAGGAGTTATTAAGATTTGTTTTGAAATTCTTGTTTATCTGACTCGGGCTTCAGCTATTGGTCACGACTCCCGCTTCCCTCATTATACACCCCGGGGTGTATACACCTCATACACCTCCTGTTGCGTCATCTCATACACACCACACCACCTAATGCATCGTTCCGTTCAGCAGTTGTGTCGTTAAATACACTACCTGCGTCATCCCATACACAGGTGTATTTGCTCCGCTCGAAAACCGCTCCGAGCTAGACAAAAACTGCTCCGAGCTAGACAAAAACCGCTCCGAGCTAGACAAAAACCGCTCCGAGCTAGACAAAAACCGCTCCGAGCTAGACAAAAACTGCTCCGAGCTAGACAAAAACCGCTCCGAGCTACACAAAAACCGCTCCGAGCTAGACAAAAACCGCTCCGAGCTAGACAAAAACCGCTCCGAGCTAGACAAAAACCGCTCCGAGCTAGACAAAAACTGCTCCGAGCTAGACAAAAACCGCTCCGAGCTACACAAAAACCGCTCCGAGCTACACAAAAACCGCTCCGAGCTAGACAAAAACCGCTCCGAGCTAGACAAAAACCGCTCCGAGCTAGACAAAAACCGCTCCGAGCTAGACAAAAACTGCTCCGAGCTAGACAAAAACCGCTCCGAGCTAGACAAAAACCGCTCCGAGCTAGACAAAAACCGCTCCGAGCTAGACAAAAACTGCTCCGAGCTAGACAAAAACTGCTCCGAGCTAGACAAGAACCGCTCCAAGTTAGACAAAAAACCGCCTCGAGCTAGACAAAAACCGCTCCGAGCTAGACAAAAACCGCCCCGAGCTAGACAAAAACCGCCCCGAGCTAGACAAAAACCGCCCCGAGCTAGACAAAAACTGCCCCGAGCTAGACAAAAACCGCCTCGAGCTAGACAAAAACTGCCCCGAGCTAGACAAAAACCGCTCCGAGCTACACAAAAACCGCCTCGAGCTAGACAAAAACCGCCCCGAGCTAGACAAAAACCGCCCCGAGCTAGACAAAAACCGCTCCAAGTTAGACAAAAAACCGCCTCGAGCTAGACAAAAACCGCCCCGAGCTAGACAAAAACTGCTCCGAGCTAGACAAAAACCGCTCCAAGTTAGACAAAAAACCGCCCCGAGCTAGACAAAAACCGCCCCGAGCCAAACAAAAACCGCTCCGAGCCAAACAAAAACCGCTCCAAACTAGACAAAAACCGCTCCGAGCTAGACAAAAACCGCTCCGAGCTACACAAAAACCGCTCCGAGCTAGACAAAAACCGCTCCGAGCTACACAAAAACCGCTCCGAGCTAGACAAAAACCGCTCCGAGCTAGACAAAAACTGCTCCGAGCTAGACAAAAACCGCTCCAAGTTAGACAAAAAACCGCCCCGAGCTAGACAAAAACCGCCCCGAGCCAAACAAAAACCGCTCCGAGCCAAACAAAAACCGCTCCAAACTAGACAAAAACCGCTCCGAGCTAGACAAAAACCGCTCCGAGCTTCACAAAAACCGCTCCGAGCTAGACAAAAACCGCTCCGAGCTACACAAAAACCGCTCCGAGCTAGACAAAAACCGCTCCGAGCTACACAAAAACCGCTCCGAGCTACACAAAAACCGCTCCGAGCTAGACAAAAACCGCTCCGAGCTACACAAAAACCGCTCCGAGCTAGACAAAAACCGCTCCGAGCTACACAAAAACCGCTCCGAGCTAGACAAAAACCGCTCCGAGCTACACAAAAACCGCTCCGAGCTACACAAAAACCGCTCCGAGCTAGACAAAAACCGCTCTGAGCTACACAAAAACCGCTCCGAGCTAGACAAAAACCGCTCCGAGCTACACAAAAACCGCTCCGAGCTAGACAAAAACCGCTCCGAGCTACACAAAAACCGCTCCGAGCTAGACAAAAACCGCTCCGAGCTAGACAAAAGCCGCTCAATTTTGACGCTTATTCAATCGTTAGAACCGAGAACTAACTGCCATTAAACGTACAGCAGGCCATATAGTTTGTGAATTTACTGTACCCTTGTTAGCGGGAAGCTGACGATAGCCCAAATGCTGGTAGACGATACTCCAAATGCTGGTAGACGATACCCCAAATGCTGGTAGACGATAACCCAAATGGTGGTAGACGATAGCCCAAATGCTGGTAGACGATACCCCAAATGCTGGTAGACGATAACCCAAATGGTGGTAGACGATACCCCAAATGCTGGTAGACGATAACCCAAATGGTGGTAGACGATACCCCAAATGCTGGTAGACGATAACCCAAATGGTGGTAGACGATACCCCAAATGCTGGTAGACGATAACCCAAATGGTGGTAGACGATAACCCAAATGGTGGTAGACGATAACCCAAATGGTGGTAGACGATAACCCAAATGGTGGTAGACGATACCCCAAATGCTGGTAGGCGATAACCCAAATGGTGGTAGACGATAACCCAAATGCTGGTAGACGATAACCCAAATGCTGGTAGACGATAACCCAAATGGTGGTAGACGATAACCCAAATGCTGATAGACGATATTAATTTCCTGTACGGAATAAATGGCCTCCCACCTTATAATTTGTATTTCCCAGCGAGAGAGAGAGAGAGAGAGAGAGAGAGAGAGAGAGAGAGAGAGAGAGAGAGAGAGAGAGAGAGAGAGAGAGAGAGAGAGAGAGAGAGAGAGAGAGAGAGAGAGAGAGAGAGAGAGAGAGAGAGAGAGAGAGAGAGAGGAGGCAATTACAACATCCTAACAACTGGAGAAAACACCTGTGAGTTTACTTAACGCGCAGCAAAACACCGGAGACACACACACACACACACACACACACACACATACACACACACACACACACAGCCACCCGTTCTTTTCCAAACATCAACCCGCTGCTGCCACCGCCAGCCCATATACCCACAGACCCCACTAACAATAGAGTGGTTGGGACACCTCGTGACCAAACTCCCAGCAGGCACAGTTACGTGGAACACAATGACCAAGCTGCCGACAGCGACATAATAGTCTGGATTTGACTGTCTTCTGTGTGTGTGTGTTTGTGTTTGTGGGTTCCGTATACTGTTGTGTCTGGCAGACTGTATCTGTAGTGACTCGTCTGCCAGGAACAGGAAGTTTGTTAAGGTCAAAGGTCAAGGTGGTACCCCCTCCCCCCCCTGTAGCGGTGGTTAATGATGGCTAATGATATCTTGGTCACCGCCCCAAGATATCGGTCTATCGGTTACCACGATAAAATAAAGACAACTGCGCATCTATACGGAAATTGTGGAAGGGAGAGAGGGTAGGGAAGGGGGGGTGGGGGGAGAGGGAGGGGGGGGGATGGTGAGGGATGGGGCGAGGGGAGGGGGGGGGGTGAGAGGCTATCACCATGGTAACACAGATCTTCTACTCCCCCTCCCTCCCCCCCCTATTGCCCATTGTCCTGTCACCCCCCCTTCCTCCTCCTCCTCCCCCCCCTCACTAGTGAACCTATCCTGAACCCAATGAACCACTCCATGCCAGCTGGTCAAGCAGGTTGTTGTTGTTGGGAGTCCGTGTCCTCTCCAGCCTCTTTTCCGACGCATTTCTCGGACTGAATAGACCCATCCGTAAATATCCTGACCTCCAGACCTTTGTGGACGACAGCCAATCACCTGTAACAACTACAACAGCAGCTGTAGCAGCAACAGCAGCAACAGCAGCAGCAGCAGCAGCTGTAGCAGCAACAGCAGCAACAGCAGCAGCAGCAGCAGCAGCAACAGCAACAGCAGCAGGATAAATGTGTATATGATGAATTAATATAACAGAGAGCACCCGTCTTTGTGGACTTTCAAAGAAAACGTGACGGTGTGACCTTGAACGAACACGTAATAGCTTCCCCTTGAGAGAGAGAGCACGTGACTGTGGCCTTGAGAGAGAGCACGTGACTGCCACCATGAGAGAAAGAAAGCACGTGACTCACCTTAAGAGATCACGTTTCAACGTGACTAAGAGATAGCAAGTGACTTTGCGACCTCGAGAAAGCATACGACTTTGTGAACTTGAGAGAGCAACATGTGACCTGCCTTACCTGCATACTTGCAGAGGCTCTCGGGAGTACTCCACGAGCCCACCTGCAAAGGAGGCAGATGTACGCGAGGCAGATGTACGCGAGGCAGATGTAAATAGCTTTGAGATTATAGAGGAGTTAATAGATTAATCCCCAGCATTGGGAGCTGTAGCTCATCCATAATCCCAATCATTGAGAGCCTCAGATTATCCTTTATGAAAATTTAGACCCCAGATGCATTCAAATAAAATCCGTCTCTGATAAAACAATGAAGTAGTTTTACAATCTACTATTGTTTACATAGTAAACAATCCTTTGGGCAGTTACGCGTACAATCTTTTGGCCAGTTACGAGCATTATTAGCTTTGTAATTGGTCTTGTGTAATTGGTCAAATTTGTAATTTGGTGTAAAAGAAATTGGTCTCTGGATTGTGGGTTAATTTTTCATAGGAA